CCAATTAAAGTTTTTAGTATTTCAAAATAAAGTAATTTCCCCATCTCTTACAGCTCCATACTACCTATCACCTATTTTATCTAATGATAAATGTCTTATTAGTTATAACCATATAATTATAAGCTGAAATTATAAGCTGAAATGTTTCTGCCTTTTTAAAGCAACTTTCCATGTTTTGAGGCTGGAGTATCATTTTTTACACTTTTGAAGACTGTGGCAAGAAAATTTATTAAATGTACAATTGAATTTTCCATTAAGATAGCACACTCTGTTAAATACACATAAAGCTGCAAGGACCCTTTAAATCATGAGACACCTTGATGAGGCATTTGCTCTAGTTTTCAGATCTTTATTTTACAGATCCTTATTCTTATATAATAATCTAGAACAGAGGCCAGCAAACTACAGAAAGTGGGCCAAATTTGACCCACTTCCTGTTTTTATAAATAAAGTTTTATTGGAACACAGCCACACCCATTCTTTAGGAATTTGTGGCTGCTTTTGAGCTACAAGGCAGAGGTAAGCTGGTAGAACAGAAACTGTATATAGCCTGCAAAGCCTAACATATTTACTCTCTGGTGCTCTTTCAAGAGAACATTCACTGACTCCTGATCTAGAAAGTGACTCCTAACCAAGTCTTAAGATTCTGTGAAGTTTCTTTCCTAAATTCTCTTTTGCAGATGTTTCATCTCAGTGGTGAAAAGGCACATGTTTAACTGTGCAGTAAGAGATGCGCTTCATTCTCAGCCTTTCTGTATACATTCTCACACTTACTCTATCTATTTCCTTCGCCTGAATGTATTACCCTTGCAAAATGAGTCACATTTCTGAAACCCTTTCTATAGAACTGAGATGAATTAAAGATGAGATTTACACTTTAATCTCTTGATTGGTTACCAAGCCAGGAGAGTATTGTGTGTTTTCTAGGCTGCCTTATTTAATGGGGTTCACTTAACACGGTGCCTGGGTCCTTTGAAATCAGCACCCCATTGAAACTGTGTGAAGAATAGTACAATCAATTTGAAGTGCAGGTCTCTATCAATTTGTTTTAGAATTAAGTAACGCTGAGAAGAGAGGAATAACTTGAAAATAAAAACATTGGAAACCCATCATAGTTAGGAGCTCTGACTTTATTGAAATCAATTTTTGAGGAATATTTGCAAAACCACGTCATCTCTATTTATAAATATTGGATAAAGATTTGACCCATGTTTGAGAGCAACTTAGATGTTCTCTCATAAGATTCTGTAATACTAATTCCCAAAGGTGATGATGAAGGACTTTAAGTATACAACACATTTCACATTGATGTGGGACACAGAATTAACTCCTAAACATTTTCCAAAATGCCGACTCTAAAATGAGAATCTCACTTACTCATTTTCAACAGTTGTCGACCTTGCTGCATGTTTACTTCAAAAACATATAGGGGGATTAAAAACAGCTGATATTTGCTAAATGTTGACTGTGTACCAAACACTACTTTTAGCCCGTACGTAACCTCCCTTGCCTCATTTTACAGATGAGGAAACAAGCTTAGATAGGAAAAATAACTTGCCTAAGGTCTCATCCCTATTTTGTGCCCAAGCCACCACTCTAACTCAAGCAGTTTGACTCCAACCCCTCTTTGACCCATGTACCCCTGAAGTCTAAAATGAACTAAAAGCAGCCAACCAGAGTGTAAGAATAGACACTAGTGCTTGATTTTTGGGGAGGGCCCTGAGAAAGGGTTGCTAACTCTTCTGAGTGGGAAAAAAAAAGGAGATGCTTCTTAGAAGAGATAAGCTTAAGTTGAATTGGATTTACTAATTAGAGACAAAGAAGGTATTCCAGACATAAGTAATAACATGTTCAAAGGCAGAGCGATGAAAGAACACAGCACATTCAGGCAGGGGCACCAAGGGGCATGAGAACAGGTTGTAGAGGATGGGCGGGAGGGTAAGAAGGGGCCTGCCATATCAACATTTCATACAGGAAGTCCACGGTTGTGAAATTTCAGTGTAGTAAGCATCACCCGGGGTGCTCATTTGCAATGAAAATTGCTGGACCCAAACTGCCAGAGAATCTTATTCTGCTACATTGAGGAATTTACTTTCAACAGGAATTCCAGGTGATTCCAGGGTGGGAGAGAGCCTCTTTGCGAACACTGTTAAGAACGTCAGGAAATCAATACGCTGGAGCATGATATGGTTAATATCATTGGATTTTAGAAAAAACAACGCAGCGGCTCAGTGGAGAGAGGAAGGTGTTCTTAAAAGGGATATTTAGGTTTTGGGCTTTTTTTTTTTTAAGAATTCAGAGATAATGTAAGGGTGGTTTTCTTAGTGATTTGTAACAAACACACACATGCCCACATACACATATAATATACCCTTTTGTTTATGTAATTGCTTGTGGATGCAATATAGATTACTAGGTTCGACAAACTACTAAGAAGTCAGCGTCCATTTGTGCTCATTTTTAAGGCACTGCAAGTTACAAAACTGCATGGGCTTTTCAAGTCAAATGTTTTTGTGTTTTGCCATTCTCAATCCTTCATACCCTAGCAATTAGTAAACTGCAGATCAGTTAATAGGGAATCAATTGTGAATCAATGAATGAATTTCTTAACTGAATCGTATATTTTCAGTAGGACCTAATTTCAGACAATATAACTGGGGGCTTAGTTAATAAATCAAGTAAATGCAGTGTTCCTGTACTTTTCCTGGGATTAATTTAACAATTTAAAGGGCTACTTACTTAAGATGAAATTTCAGTTGACCTGTAACTTAAGATCTGGTAGTGCCTAGTTAGTATATAAGGTAAAAGTTATTAATTCCCACTGGCTTTGAATACATCTAGAATAGGTAAGTGAATACATTTTAAAAATTATCTATTCCATTTGCTTACTTATAGCTCTCAAAATGGCTTGTGATCAGGTGACTCCCAAAATATGTTTTTTTAGAAAATCAATAATCCCCGCAAAAGAGAATGTCAATACGCGTTTCAATATTTAAACAAACATGAAAGAAAAAAGGAGAAGAAGGACAGTCATCTAATTCGTCTGGAATTAAACAGACTCCAAATGTCAAATCTCTTTGGGTAACCGGAGATGGCCTTGACCAACAAGGGATTCTCAAACTTGGGATGGCAGATCACACACTGATGTTGATTCCACACTTAAGCTTATTCAACACAGATGGTAGGCATAAAATAACTGAGCTCTAATGGATCGTGTCTGGGCAAAATGATAGATATGGTCTTCTTTGTTGACAGAGATGTTTTCACATTCCACTTGAATTAAATTATGCTCATCCATGCCATGGTACATAATCTCTGGCAAGGATTCTTAGAAAAAGTCATCATGTGAACTCATCGCAAAGCAAGTGAAAAAAAAAGTTGCAGAATAGTACTATAAGAAAATATGACAAAAGTTGAATGCTGTCCATTTATTTTGAAAAATGTATAAGTGTGTATGTTAATATTTATCAGTAGGGATTCATATATATTATATATAAATACATACATAGATATTGAAATTCAGGGGTTATGCAAATCCTTAATTTTAACAGACTAGCAAAAATACTTTGAATTTCTAATATGAAAAGAAATTATGTTTTAGATATACTAGGTATGATACCAAGCCTAGCTTTCAAATGTTCACAATCAAGTTTGGTAAATAATACATAAGCACATGAAATTTTATGTAAAGGGGAAAAGTTAAATAATAAAAGTAAAATGTGATCACAGCAATTTTGAAGCTTTATCAGAATGGGCACCAGATATTAATTTCTGGGTCTTAAAAAAAACAAATGGACAAAGAGTGCAGAAAATCATTCCAGTCGAGGAAGACAGTAGGAGTGAACAAAATCTTCTTAACCTGGTGCTTGCTGAAATCGACCTTTTAGAGAAGACCTAATTGGAGTATTTTTAGGAGTTGCCAAGAACATATTCAGGTCCACTGATTCAATGGAAGGACTCACAAAACTCTGAAGAGCTGTTATATTCAAGTTTCCCATTTGTTATAACAAAAGGATACAGATTAAAATCAATACAGGTGAAAGACACATAGGGTAGAGCCCACAAGAGACCAGGGACAAGCTTCTGGTTGCCTTCTCCCAGTGGAGTTGCACAGAAAGCACTTAATTCCCCCAGCAGCAGTTTGTGAAAACACACACCCAAGTGTTGCCAACCAAGAAAGCCTACCCATGCTTTGGTGTCGAGGGTTTTTACAGAGGTCGGTCACGCAGGTATGAATTTCTTTGTGACTCTTCTCATCTCTAGTCTCTAGCCCCTCCACGAGGTCATGTTGATACAGCACGGCCCCAGTCTCCAGGTGAATCAAAACAGACACAAATCATATTGTTAGAATAAATTATCTTGCATAATCCAAGACCCACGATATACAAAGACACTCTTATCAGGTGGGATATTCCAAGGGCTTAGAGGTTTTCTCCCAGGAGCCAGACAAGGGCCAGTTGTTTCTTTGGAATGTGAGGGTTTCAACACCCCAAACCTGCTGAGTTAATCCTTTACTGCACAGTAGAGAGTTTGCATGACTGTGGGTTTTAAATTTAAAAAAAAAAATTTTTTTTAGAGAAAACAGATAAAAAGACCTGAAATCCTAAAAAATGATGCCTGCAAAAAACCTGTGTATAACCATTGGTTTTGATGATGAGAAAAAGAAAATATGAGTGAAAAGAAAACTAACCTCATAGAATAGCAATTGGTTTTACCTTTGCTTGGGACCCAGGTGTCCTGCAGAGAGTAGTGGGCGTCAGTGGAGTAATTTGCTGCCATGTGTGATCCTAATTGCACAACTACCTGAGGAACGAGTCCTTACTCACCATCCTGTAAATACCTCACTGCTACTCCAGTTAACAGTTCTATAGAAGAAAGTTCATGTTAATGCTAAACTGAAAATTGGAGAATTAACTAACTTGCCAATCTTTTTCTTTTAATTTCTGCCCTGCACTCCGCACCCCATATTTTCTTTTCTGAACACTGCGTCCTCTCCAAAGATGTTCCAGTGGATTTGACCGCCATCGGCAGGACTGGGTGGACAGTGGATGCCCTGAAGAGGTACATGTGCTTTATAACCACAGGATTCCTGAGACCAAGCTGTCCTATAGGGTTGCTACATCTTAATGAAAATGGCATCTAATTTAACAAAGATATCCAGCAATTGTTGGGTCCTTAATATATGCCACACATATGGCTTATCTCTTTACATGTATTATCTCGATTGATTCTCCTACCCTTCCTGTGACAAGGGAGCTCCCTTCCTGGGAGCTGTTATTGCCCCCATATTACCAAGGGGAGAAGAGGGAGGGGTGAGGGAAGGGGGTGGGGAGGGAAGCCCTGAGGGAACAGAGTTAGGTGTGTGGCTAGGAAATAGAACCAGAATTTGAATCTCACAAGCAAAAGGCAGTTCTCTTAAACACTTGCAGCTTTTCTAAGATCTCGGAAGCCATTGTTCATCTTTTTTGCTCAAATAACAAAACCGATGGTATGGAGGAAAAGACTGATTGCAGCAAATTGATGTAATATAAGTTGGAAATGGTATAACATGGAAACAGTAACTCCAAGGCAAGCATGATACAGACAATGATGCAATGAAACGATTCAAGCAAGTGCATGCAATTGCAGAAACAATTTTATCCTGTTCATAATTTTCTAGTGAATTGCATTTACATTGTCATTTCAGGTCCTATAAAGATATCCTATCAAGTTCACAAAGAAAAGTGCTTGTTTTTTCTCCCTGTGTTAAGTGTTAGAGTGTGAATTTTGAATGAAGATTATTAGCAATTATACACGTTTTCTCATTCAGGAAAGCAAATCATGTCAAAGTGCTCTCTTTAAACTGTTAGGGGACCAATGGCTACTAAAGCCTTTCTTAAAAATTAAGGTTTTATAATGATGTCTTATAAATATCCTGAAACAAACATCTTTGAGAATATACTTGAATTTTAAGTGCCGTATTGCCAACACAGCCTTCATCAACTCTTTGACATTCATTTGGGGGATTATAGTGACATACACTAATCTATCTATTTCACTTCACTTACAGAGCAACATCATTCAAAATGAAAATAGATTCCTGGAGCCATAGTTGTATTTTCCAATTGATGTTTCTTTCATGTAATCACATTTGCCTCCATGAAAACATGGCAGTTGAATAGCTGTAGTTGTGCAAAGATCAAAAGTGTAATTCAGGCATCTTACTTTTCTTGCCCACCATGAACCAAGGAAATAGGAAGAATCCATCTTATCTTAAACAGCCCTGAATATATCCTAAGTATGTTTTGTGGAATGTGCTGAGCACTGAAATTACAAAAATTTTAAAAATGACCCCCTATTCCCAAGTATCTCAGAGTCAAGTACATTTTTTAATATCCAGTGTTTCCTTTCAATTATGTAATTGAATTGTCATTTACATTACATTAATTACATACATTTAGTTATGGTGAGCAATTCTGTCCTTCTTTTACAGGTGAGTAAACAAAGCCACCAAGTGCAGTCCATCTTCTGTGACTAAAACTAGCGTTAAATCTTTCTGATCCTATGAGATAAATTTACTCCATAAGTACAAATCCTAATATGAGCACTTACTATGTACTGTTCTAAGCACCAATAATATAAAAATGGAAGAAGCGTGTCCAACAGGTAGTTAGACCACTGAACCAAGGACTGCTTTTAGAGAATGACCTGGGTAGAGAGTAACTGTAAGGACATGGTCTTGTTAAGTAACATAAGAGAAGCCTTGCTTGAGGAGGAGATATTCAAGATGATGCCTGAAGGTTAATAGAGCTAAGAAGAGGAGTGGTGAGAGATGAGATTGGCGAGGTCAGCAGACCCTCAAGTGTGACAAGTTGAAGGAGTTTAGGCTTTATGCTAAAGGCAAGGGAAGTATGGAGGGTCCTCAAAAAATTAAAAATAGAACTACCATGTGATCCAGCAATTTCACTGGGTATTTATCCAAAGAAAATGGAAACACTAACTCAAAAAGATAATAGCGCCCCATGCTCATTGCAGCATTATTTACAATAGCCAAGATATGGAAACAACCTAAGTGTCCATCAGTGGATGAATGGAGAAAGAAGATGTGGCATATACGTATGAATACACACACACACACACACACACACACACACACACACACACTGGAATATGATTTAGCCATAAAGAAAGAAGGAAATCTTGCCATCTGTGACAATGTGGATGGACCTTGAGGGCATTATGCTAAGTGAAATAAGTCAGAAAAGGCAAATACTGTATGATCTCACTTATATGTGGAATCAAAACAAAACAAAAACCAAAGGGAAAAAAAAAAAACCATCGTGGATAGAAAACAGATTGATGGTAGAGTGGATGAAATTGGAGAAGGGGCCCAAAAGGTACAAACTTCCAGTTATAAAATAAATACACCCTGAGGAAGTCATGTACAGTATGGTGACTTCAGTTAATAATACTCTATTGAGCATTTGAAAATGCCAAGAGAATAAATCTTAAAAATTCTCATCACAACAACAAAAGTTTGTAGTTATATGTGGCAACAGATGTTAACTAGCCTTATTGTGGTGATCATTTCACAACATATAGAAATATTAAGTCATTATGGTCTACACCTGAAACTAATATAATGCTATATGTATATATTATACCTCCATTAAAAAATAATGGCAAGGGAAAGGATTTTAATCAGGCCTTTTGGAAGAATCACCCTAGCTATGGGGCGAATGATAACTTGAAGCAGGAGGCCAATAAATTGACTGTAGCTATAACCCAGCCAAATATGCTGATGATCTGGCCTAAATCAGTGGGAAGGGTCATGGTGACCACAGCTGGGGTGGTGGAAGGATCCGAAGGTGGTTGGGTGAATGGAAATGAGGACCGTGAACGTGTTTTAAAATTCTTGTTATCCTTTGCTTTTAGAATATCTTTTTAACATTTTGTAACATTAATGTACCTTTGAAAAACAGTAAGAAAATGATTACCCAGGATCATGCTACCCAATTTATGAACTAGATTATCCGTGACTAGGAAGCTGATTGTGCTGCTCCATTGCATCTGTGCCCTTCCCTATTAAAAATAAATAAAGCTATTTGGAATCTTTAACTTATCACTCAGAATTTTGTTTTATAACACTTATCCCTGTTGGTGCCCGTGATGGTGATCTATTCACTTTTATAGCTATATATTCCATGGTATTAATATGTCATTCATTCACTTACCAAATATTTATTGGGTGCCCATGATGTCACAGGCACTTTTTTAGGTACTGGAATGGAATGGTAAGAAAATAGTCTGACAAAACAAAACACCAAATTCTGCCTTCCTGAAGCTTATATTCTCACAATCATGTTTTCTTCACTCAGTCTTATGGACATTTGTTTCAAGATTTTTCCTCTGACAAAAGCGCCTTGTGCATGTCTCCTAAGTCAAATGAACACAAGTTTCTCTAATATTCCCAAAAGTGGAATCGCTGAATGGGAGTCAGACAAATGTTCAAATCTGAAAGATAATGCCAATTTTTTTCCAGTGTGTCCATGAACACGACCAGCACAACGCTGGAACTCTTACAGGTTCCCATTATTTCATGGTCGCTACGATCCTGATTTTGTCGGACTTCTTCATTTCTGCAGATCTACTCGCTATCTAATTTGGTATCTTATTGGGAACTCCATTTGTCTTTCACTAATTATCAGCGAAGTTGAATCTATTTTCATATTCTTTTTGGCTTCTGTGTTTCTTCTTCTGTCTTTCCTCTTCTGTGAAATTCCTGTTCATGTCTTTTTGTCATTTTTCTATTGAGTAATTATCTTTTTCTTTTTATTCTAGACCATAGGTCTCCATTGATTATATGTAACAGACATAATACATCTGATATATAACCCCCTTATAAAATTATCTTACTAATTTAAAAAAGACATGTCAAGATTCTTGGTGGCTCTCTACTGAAACAATCTTACCACCTATAAATAAAAGAATTTTGCTTATTACTTTTTATACCTTTTTACTTTATTCCTTTTTTACTTATTCTTTATACCTTTTTACTTATTTCTGCTGTGTTACTGCTCTAGCTAGTATATATATATATATATATATATAGAGAGAGAGAGAGAGAGAGAGAGAGATATATCTCTAGGTATATATATCTTCCCCAGATTTTGGATTCTTTTCATTTTCTTCATTATTTTATTTAGTTAACATCTATTCTCAATCTAAGGTGTCAAATTAATCAGTCTTTTATTTTATTGTTAGTTTCTGGGTATATGTATCTTGTTTAAAAAGCCCTCTCCTACCAAATTTCATAGTCATTTTTCATGCATTTTTCTCTTAAATATCTTAAAGCTTTATCTTTTTTTACATCAAAGTCTTTATTCTATTTGGAATCGGTATCTATGTATGATATACAATGGGAATCCAATTTTGTGAGGAGCTTTCCCCTTTATAGATAATTTCAAGCACTGTGTGTTGAATAGTCCTTCCTTTTGGCAATTTCTTGCCAAGCCACCTCTTTCCTAGTTTCTACATAACCAGGGAGTTGGTTTCTGGGCTCTCTTCTTCTAATCCTCAATTTGTCAATACCCTAACTAATGTCACGGTGTCTTAATTATCATCATCTTATAGAAATCTTGCTATCTCTAGGACAAGTCTTACTTTTTCTTCTTCACAAGTATTTTGACTATTAGGGGACTTTTGTTCTTCAAATAAATTTAGACTCAGTATGTCCAGATCTGTAATCAATCAACATGTTAATATGTTGATTGGATTTACATTGAATTATGAATTATAGCACATTTCCAATTTGTGAAAAGTTTTAAAATTTATTTTATTGTTGACCTCGAATTATTGATTCAATTATTGTCAGAAAGCATCTTTTAACCTCTTCTTTTATATCATCTATCTTTTTATTTCTCTGTGTTGCATCCTGGGGAGTTTCTTCAGATCAGTTTGCCAGTTTATTAAATCTGTCTTCATCTTTTTTGATCCACTATTTAACATATCCATTGAAGTAGTCATTGCAAAAAATGTATTTTTCATTTCTAAAATTTAAATTTTACATTTTATTAAATCTGCCAAGACATTTTTATTGTCTATATTACTAATTTTTAAACTTTACCTTTCATTCCTTAAAATATTTCATATATGATTTTTTGTCTATCTTCTATTGGATGATCACAATATCTAAAGATTTTCATAGTTTAAATACATTGCTCATTGTTTTTGCTAACTTTGTCAGAGTGTGCTTCTTCTTTTTGTGTTTCTGTTTGTGTCCTTTAATTAGAATTGCATTTTTATTCGATTTTATTCCATGGGAATCCCTAGGACCTAAATAGATGGTACTTTCTACCAAAGAATGTTTGATGATGAGAACCTGAGAGTTTTAGGGGATATCATACGTCCCTATTTAATATGTGAGGAGAGGTTTAGATTTATCTCCCCCATCTACTGCTGGCACAAGACTTGATCTCCTTGGAGAAATATTTTATTTTTGACATGTTTTGCCCTATAGGCAAATTCTAGTCTTTTACTTTGTCTAATGTATATTACTCCTACTCCATTGCACACAGCTTTTGCTTTATTTTGTTTTGGGGGAGAGACAATAGAAAGGTATTCTTGGAGATTTTCTTTGTGTCCTGCAAATCCTAGTAATGCTTTAAAATTCGTATTTTATCCAGAATCTCCTTGTTTTATAGAAGGAAGACCATTTAGAGTCCATAGTCTGCCTTTAGTGGTCTGAGCAAAACAATTCCAGGATGTTACCTTAAATATCAGGGTGTTTACTAATAGTATTCTTTTACAATAGAAACACAGGAGGAGAATAATATGTGGCAAGTTCCATTTCAGTCTTACTGAGTTGGAGATGTCTGTGATATCCACATGCATATGTTAAGTCAATAGATGAATATTTGGGTCAGAAATCCAAGAGAGACATATGCAATGTTGGTATGGATTTATGTAAATTAATATAAAGATGTGAATTGAAATCATGGGTGTGGTGGAAATTGCTAGTGAGAATGCATATAGCAAAGAGATTAGTCAAGAAAGATCCATAAGAACTACCAACACACAACAGGGAGACAGAAGTAAAAGGAAATTAAGGAGTTGTTAGAAACCTATCAGAAGACTGGTGAGGATAAATGTCACAGAACCCTGGGAAGTGGACAGGTGTGCCCCTTGCTATGAGATATCAAGAATATAGACAATTTCATGCATAAGAAGATATTAGGACCACCAACATGAGAAGTTTCCAGTAAGTTGTATTGAGTAAAAACAAGATTTTTACAAGTGGGGAAAGTGGGAGTCTGCGAAGACCAGGACAGACCAATCTCTCTGGAAAGATGACTGAATGGAAGGGAAAGTGGGGAAATGTCAGGGTGTGTTGTAGAGAAGGAGGACTGAGTTTTTAAAGTAAGATTGGACATGCTTGAGTGTGCTTAAGCTCTAATGGGAACAAGGCAGTGGAAAACTCAAGATTGTAAACATTGAAGAGAAAGGATTGTATTAAATGAGCAAGTTCACAATGCCTGAGAAAAGTGGGCTGAGTTGGGCCACAGTAGAGGTTGAGAGAATAGCTATAAATACTGAGCCTCTTCCATTATAACAGAAAGGAAGAGGGGTAGGTCAGTACAGATTTGAGCAAGAATGCTGATTTATAAAGAAATGTAGAGAATTCTTGCTTATGATTCCTATCAAAGAAATAAAAGGTGAGCCCATGGAGTAAGATTGGGACAGGCATTATAGTTTTCGGTAGAGTGGAGTGGGTTTGAAATTGATACAGAGGACAATGGGAGAAGAGACCAGCAAAGTAGGACAGAGTTGCCAGGCAGCACGGAAGGCCTACTGAGGTGGTGGGAGGTAAATTTATGGAGCTCCCAGTCAGAGGCTGTGTGATCGTTCTCCAGCTGCTCATGGCTTTGTTGCAGGCAAGGAAAAGGCAGGTATTTTACTCCATTTAGTATTGGGGTTTTTCTGAAAGGGTGCTGTGGGAAAACAGACAAAACGGGGCAAGATAAGTGAAGAAATTGAAAAAAGAGGTTGAAGTGATGCAAAAATAGGAGACTGGACTTTGTGCATAGTCAAAGGAGAAGCAGAATCTGAGTGAGCACATACATAGAGAGATTGGAAAGAGGACAACTGGATCTATGATCTCAAAACACAACCATCTCCAACTGCAGATGAGGGCCAGACTGTGGGGGCAAGAACTGATGTGGAGCTAGCAAGGAGATCATTAGGTCCCTGGGGCTGAGAAGATGTGGGAACCAACAGTTGAAGATTGAATGACCCCTAGGATATTGGGAATTGCAGTGGAGAAGAAATCTGTATCTCACCCTTTGTAAAAGAGGACACCATCTCAGGAACTCTCGCTGCACTAGTAATAAGTGCCTTGTATTTCATTAATGACAAGAGAAGTTTAAGAAAGGAATTTATTTAATAATAATTTTCTAAAGTGGGGTGAGTACCACCCATGTGCAGACTGATTATCTTCTACTTGAGACCCTACCAGAGGGATGACGTCCTTTGGAGAACAAAGAGGTTGAGAGAGAAACACCAGCTTCTAAACCATAAAAGTTTGGGTGGTGGAAATTGTTGCTGGTGAATGTTGTAGGATTTATTTTTGTGGGCTATAAATAAAAATAAAATATATATCTTTTCCTGATGTCTTCAGTCTAGCTCTGCTAGGGAGAAATAGGCTAAGTGATTACATGAGGGCCATCCAATCTTTTGTTTGGGTGATTTTGAATATTTTGTAATAGAAAACAAAAAATTTAAATACTCATTCAATGTGTGGTGGATTAGTTTTGAAACAATAAGGGGATACGGAGCATTTTACCAAATTTTTAGAACTTAGCATTATTGGTTTGAAGCGCCTTCTTCATATACCCAAGCATGTTTTAATTCTTATCTGTATGAACATGTTTTTCTTCTTGTATGAACTTCTCCCTCATGACATCATGTCTTTTATATAGAGATTGATATAAGATTTAGGGCAAGATAAATAGTAGTATGAAAGATTAAGAACAGAAATGATGAAATCCAAATATCTGAAGATGGAAATGCTTTGTTACATCCGATTTTTTCTCATCTTTTATATACTTTGTAAATTATTAAAACCTATAAATATTGTTCTCTATAAAAATAACTTATTCCTCATCTTGATATGAAAGCCCTTAATGCTTCACAGCCCAACTTCTTTGATGTAATTTTCTAAACACATGTGTGATCACTCTTAAATTGTTTTCCTATTTGTTTCTCTTATCAGTCAAAAGAGAAGATGTGTGAGAACACAGAGCCAATGGAAAGTTCTTCTCAAACCACCACAACTATACAAGCAACAACCACAAAATTCAGGGTCTTAACAACCACCAGAAGAGCAGCGACATCCCAGCTGCCCACCAGTCTGCCCACAGAAGGTGCTCTAGATATTTTTGCTTTTTTCTGAAGGAGGGGAAAGTCACTGTATTGACATGTACTGGAGTAGCTCTCCAGAGAGAAAGTTATCTTTTGGCAAACTGGATTTCTAAAGGACTTCTAAAGGGGAAAAGACAAAATTATTACAGAAGAAAAATATGTGCTGGGATTCTTGTAACGTATGGCACCTTTTCTTAAGACTTAGATTTCATTAGTGATCTTGGCTACTTGTCCTCAATAGAAAAGAAATACAGACTTCCTTTTATATCGGTAAATTTTGTCGTAACTGAATTCAACATTTCAGTCACAGGAGAGAAAGGCAAAATGCATATAAAATGTCCAGTGATTTCAGATTCTGAAAATAGATAATTCTATTTATATGCAATTCTACTATTTACCTGAATACAGTCAGTAAAATATGTTGGTCTATAATCTGTAGAGGGACAATGTGTATGTCAAAGAAATTGTCTTTGAAAAACATTTCCTCTGTCAGGGAAGACAAAAGTACAAGAGAATATTGATGCGTGGGACAACTCATTGAGGGAAGAAGGTATATTAGCCAAAATATAACCACTTATTCTAAATGACGCCACTAGGGAGAAATGTGAGACCAGTTGGCCAAGAGTAGGCTCTGATGGAGAAAAAATAGTCTTACTTATTTATGGTCATAAACCTGGCTTTCATTTGAATAATAAATTAAACTTGAAACTTTTACTTTTAATTGAAATTTAATTGGATATTAAAAGTTAACTAGAGTAAAGTGATAAAATGAGATGAGGAAGCTGCTAAATCATTTTATTGCTTTTGAAACCAGTGCTGCATTTTAATACATAATGTTTTGGATTGTTATATAGCCTGTGAAGTATTTTTGAGGTTTGAATCCTCCTCTGAGAAAGCATTAGGAGACAATGACTGATCATCATATTTATGCCCCACTAAAAAATTTTTGTTACAGTAACTTTGAATTTCTCTTCCAGATGATACCAAGATAGCACTACATCTAAAAGATAATGGAGGTAGGAATTGATGCTTTTCTTTCATAAATATTTTCAGATGCTAAGTCATTTCATTCATTTATATATGAGAAAGGATTTGTGGGCTTCTAATACACAGTGAGATTATATTTCACTCCCTGTTGGTATTTAACATGGGGAGAATTCAGTGGGTGGTTTGAAAATTGAAATGGTTTCAATGGTAGAATGAAATTCTAATCCTCATATTTGCCTATAAAACTATAGGATACCAATGACCAATTATAACGTGAAAACTTATCCACACACCTTGCTCTCCTTCTGTGTGTACTGTTCCTTGGTTTGATTGTGTATTGAGTATCTACACAGAGCAGGTATTGGGTTCAAATGTTTTCTTTTTTTTTTTCTCTAAGTTGACTACTCAACATTATTTATAAATAAAATTAAGAATTAGACCAATATGGAAATATATTTTATAGGCCCTTTTGTCTCTTATGTCAAGCAGAGGACAAAAATTAAACATGCAAAAAAGAACTTTTAAGTAGTTGCATACTTCAAGTTTTCTAAGACAATTTTTAGAGAAACCTATATTGATACTTAAAAATTTGAGGAAGAAAAGTTTTACCAAAATAAGACTGTGAAAGATATTGCCTAAAATGTTTAAAAACAGTTCTTTTTCTATTAAACTATATTAGCTCAGATGTGCTTCTCTATCATAGCTTGCTGGATCTTGATAAAAGAGATTTTTTTATCAGCAACTGTTTATTCAACTCAGGAAGTTGGGGGGGGGGGGGAAGGTGGGGCCTCTTCTTAGCAGCCTCTTTCATGTAAATGTGGCCCTACTGTGACATTGATCTAGACACAGTTTTACTTTTGCAGCCCCAGCTGATTTTGTAAGTCAAAATCCAATGTATACATTCTTAGGGATTTTTTTTAAGTAATTGTAGAGATTAGTTTCTAAATTAGTCCAGGTTAAGTAACAAAAATACATCTATGTTTTCTTAGGTCACTGTATGATAAGATACATACTGTATGCATCTTTAATTTCATGTCAATCCATTTGAAAGATAAGCTGTTTATCCTCTTCATATATATCATTATTACATCAATTCTCCATTGTCTTGTGTCTGTCTAATAGTGTTTTATTTCATTCATTTCTTACTTATCATAGTATTAATGCTGTAAGTGGATAGCTTTACAGATGACCATTTGCCTGTATATACTTGCTAGAAATAAATTAAAATCTCAGCACTTGAAGGGCCTTTAGCAGTCCCCCAGTTGAGAATTTCTCAGAACAGGATGCTGTTTAGTTTCATGTGAACATAAGTCCTAAATTTGGTGTTATGTTATTTTGAGGGAGGGAAGTGGGAGATAAATGAGTTGGAGGAGGAGTCGCCAAGAGGCTTCTGTTGTATTTGTTACATTTAATTATTAATTTGGGTAGTAGTTTCATGTGTGTTTATTATATTATTTCTATGCTGTCTCTTTTCTTTTTAATATTCTAACTATTTAGAATAAATATTCTGTAGTGCTAACAGAAAAAAAAATCCTGTGATCAAATAGGTAAGAGATACTCTGGGTGAAAGAAAATGAAAGAGGTTTCTTTGCTAGAGAGCTATTCAAAGCTCTTAATGTTCATTCATTTATTCATTCATTAATTCCTGCTGGATGCCTGCTAATTGGAGGGCATTGTCACAGGCTTGGATCCATGATAAGTGAATGAGATTTAGCTAAATTCCCTGCTTTCGGGGAGCATGTATTCTAAAGAAATTTCAAGATGGCAATAAAGATTTAGTATCTGGCATTTCTCCATTATTTGGTCATAAAACCTTTTTATCAGTTGCATCTCATGGACTTAATGCTTTGCAAAATACACTTTGGGAAGTAGTTCCCTAGAATCTTACCAATTATCCTAAGGAAAATCTTTAGTTTTGTTGAATGCATCAAGGAATCATAAAACTTTGAAGATTTTCTTAAAGCAGTGCATTAGAATACCTTATGATATTGAGAAACCAAGTGGAGTAAATTCCTGATGTAAATGTAAGGTTTGTTTTTTTTTCTTTTCTGTCATACTGGAGAAGTTGACTGATGGATTTTCAGATGATATTTAGATCATTAATATGCAACCATGAATCCATCAGGACTCCAAAATATCACAAGAAGACTTTAACTGTGTCTATATACTGGAATTCTTTCCATGTCTAGGATTGTTTATAGGGCATTTTTTCTTAAAGTACATTTGGAGCAGACCAACCTGGCCAGTATTAAGATAAATGTTCCTTCAAAGCGGTGCTTAAGGGAAATTACACATTACTTTTTATAGCACCTTCATCAAGATAGCATACTTATCATTGTTTTTATCTTACAGAATTTGAAGATGCAGGAAAGATTGCCATTTTAAATCTAACTTGATTAGTTGATTAAACATATTGAGAATAGAATTCAGAATTGTCCAGCCCCTCCACATCCAGGTTAACATTTTTGCAAAATGGAGGTAATAATGAAAAGGATGCCTAATTTAAGTGTTTTCTCACATTTGTTAATTTTTTTAATGCAAGCTAATAAATTTTTGTAAATTGCTATATATTGTTGCAAAGAAATTTAGCTCATTTTATTTCTTGATTTAATTTAATTGGCTGGTTTTAAAAAGCATTTTAATTTAGAGATCTGTAGTTTTTGATGAAAAAGGGTGACATTTTTCAAAATAGTCAATATGTAGCTAGAAGCCAATGATGCTGGCTTTAGATATTGGATTACTTTGGCTGAGTCTTTCTGGGACATTTCTGTGGGTTAAAATAGTTGATTTTCTAGTGGAATCCACAGCTGACATGATTATACATTCACTTTCCAGGAGATTTTCCTTCATCTTTGATATGAAAGTATAAAATACTTCTGAGCAGCTGGACACCAAAGGCACACAACAGGGTTTCTCATTCACAGGACCCAAACTGAGTTACAGTCTGCTAAATCACTCTTGATGAATCTTCAATTGTGAATTGAGTTTCCTGCTACATTTAGAGTAAGACTAGGTAGAGCTTCTGGAAGTTTCAAGATAGTTTGGGGTTTAGGAAAGTTTTATTAGCCTTATGGGTTGAGTGGAAATTCTAAGACCTAAGAATAATTTGGAGAAAAGAACATGTAAACAAACCTAAACAAAGAAAATGGTATCTAATGAATATAGGCCTCCTTAGTAAGGTGTATAACATTGATTGACCATTGTAAGTGATAGAATACAAAAACTCAGAAGAGCGAGTATAAACATGACCTTTTATCTCCAACTATACAACGATCTCCAAATAGTTGGGAGGAGGAGGAGAAGAAAAAGAAGAGGAAAAAGAAATATTTGTTGAGTGTTTACTATGTTCCTGGCCCCATTCTACATGCTGTCATTTATTACTTCGTATAATTCACACAACACCCCTGTGAGTTGTTCCTATTATTACCTCCATTTTTTAGCTGAGAAAACAAAGGTACAGAAAGGTTATATGGCCAGTACGTGGCAGACCTGGGGTATGAGTCTTTTGGGCCTTAATACAGCCTCTCAGTATGGCTGTTCTCTTACAGTCAAACTTCGAACAGGAAATGCCACTCTAAAGTATTTCGCTTACTCCTACTGTATTGTTTTCCTTTTTCTCTAACAACTGATGATACTTGCAAGTATTTGGAAATGGAATTTATTTTCTTTTCCCATGTAATTATGCAGTAGTTTCCATCTTATCCTTTCTATGAAAATCACAACACATCGATTTTCCTGTGTCATTGAGGAGTGTCTCAATCACTGGCATGCATTCTCCAAACTACAGGGCTACGCTGTGTTTATGTTCAAAATCTAATTTAAAATCCTTTCAGCCTTCTTGGTTTCTCCAGAAATTCAGGTTTAATTCACCATCAAGGGGTTTCTAGGATGTATTTTTTAAATGTATGTATTTCTGTGGATAGTGGTTATAAGCATTTAAAATCACGTCTTTGGGTTGTGGCAAAAGCTTATTAGAGGAGTACATTTCAAAGGAATGACCTAGCTATATATTAGAGTAGGTACAACTATTAAATGCCTTCTTTGGCATTTGACTAGGTTGCTTCCAAATGACACTCACCACCTAAATAGAAATGTAAATGTCTTCAGGATGCGAACTGGATAAAATTATATCCAGCGCTGAAAAGAGGTTTGCAGGTTGAATCAATGGCAGGGTCTCTTAATTAAGAAGGAAAGCCTTCAACCAGATTCAGCTCAGTTTGGCAGATTGAATCGTGCCATTCTGCTACACTGCAGATGTTAAAATTATTGTAAGTTCTAAAATCCTGTGATTTGATTTTATTATTTAAAATGTGCTGACTGAGGGGCACCTGGGTGACTCAGCCAGTTAAGCATCCCACTCTTGGTTTTGGCTCAGGCCATGATACGGTAGCTTCCTGGGTTTGAGCCCTGCATCAGTCTCTGCACTGGCAAGGTGGAGCCGGTTTGGGATTCTGTCTCTCTCTCTCTCTCTCTCTCTCTCTCTCTCTCTCTCTCTCTCTCGCCCTCTCACCCTCTCTCTCTGCCCCTCCCCCGCTCTCACTATCTCTTTCAAAATATCCAAACAATCTTTAGACAATAAATAAATAAAAATAAAATTTGTTGACTGAGATTTCTCCAAGTACCAAAACTGCATTTGTTCTTGGCTCCTCTAAATGTTCTTCTTTTTGATAGAGTGTCTTTTTAAAAACATATTTGACTATAAGTGCTTAGCTGCTAAAAGCTTTTAAAGTAACAGCACTCCGGAGAGCACTGATGTGTTACGCAGGTGGTACCATGCTTCTCATTTCTTCTTATTGCGGGGCATTTTACTAAACCTGGATCCTGAAAGCCTGCATCCTTGAGTCAGAAAGCTGGTGTCACCCATCAGAGATGCTGAAATAGCTACATTAAGCGGTTTGCAGAACATGATCAACATGATCAAGTTAATTCTGATACAAATCTGCCAACTGGTTGATTTCACAAAGCTAGGACAGATACACTTTGAATGAACTACTATGGAATGGCTGGTCTAAATTCTGATTTGGTCGTG